GTTGAAAAATGGGAGGGGGATAAACCATGCCCCTATGTCCAATTCCTTCATTGTGCCCCCTACCCAATCCGAAACCTATTAATATTTTAGATATAACTTTGTAATGTACGGAAGCCCAATAGTGCAAACCAAAAATAAATAAAGAAAAACGAAATTATTAAATAAAGAAAAACGAAATTTTTAAATAAAGAAAAACGAAATAAAAATATAAAGAGAAACAAAATTAATATATAAAGAAAAACGAAATTTTTAAATAAAGTTAAACGAAATTATCAAATAAAGGAAAACGAAATTAATATATTTCCTTATTATATTTATTTTGTTTTTCTTTATATTAATTTCGTTTCTCTTTATTTAATAATTTTTTGTCTACTTTTAATAATTTTGTTTTTCTATATACATTAATTTCGTTTTTCTTTATATATTAATTTTGTTTTTCTTTATTTAATAATTTCGTTTTACTTTATTTATTTTTGGTTTGCACTATTGGGCTTCCGTAGTAATGTGATTATCAGAACATAATTATCTTATCCAGGGTTCTTTTAAGGGGATATCTGATTTTCCTAAATTCTGAGTAAAATGATGAGCCGATAGATTATTTTCCTGAGTATAATGAGTCTGCATATACGATTAGAAGACAATCAAAATATCAGTTTTACCGGTTGCTATACGTTCCAAAGACTAAATGTGACTTGGCAACGTAACCCGTCACCGAGTATTCTCAGTATAAGGGTTCCTATTAATATATTAGAGAATCTGGGGCCTCGATCTGATAAGAACTATTTCCACCTGACACACAAATTCTACTACTGCCGATGAATTTATTCTAACTCTACACTAGCCTAACGTATACCTTTCGTCTTCTGACTTCTCTCTCTCCGAGCAATTCCACTTCAACTGCCAGCTGCCTCGATTTATATACCCTTAAAACATTTTATTTCCGAAGGGATGTCAAGTTATTCCATTCCATTTCATGGGTGTGTTCTATTAGTCTAAGACTATTACGTTTTACTACCCAGACCTCTGAGAACGTGCATCCCGACAAATCAATAAAAATCATAATTTTATCGTTTATTAATTAATTTGTTTATAAATATATTTTTAAAGATCTTATTAAATTAACTATTTGTTGAAATCTGCATTATAAACATGCGAGTCAAGACCAAACTTAAAAATTATCTACATGTTCTTGTAAACAGTGAATTAAATAATGTAATCAAACCCATATTCAGGTTTTTTTCTACGAAAGCCTATTACGATCAATCTAGGGGAAAAAATTAAAAGGCGTTATAACGACTTTCGAAAAGGCCTAATAACGCGAAAAAAGGCGTTATTACGCCTTTCCATTCCAAAAGGCGTTATTACGCCTTTTAAAAAGGCGTTTTTAACGCCTTTCTAAAAGGCAATGTAACGCCTTTCCATTCTAAAAGGCGTTATTACGCCTTCCTAAAAGGCGTTACAACGCCTTTCTAAAAGGCGTTATAACGCCTTTTAGGAAGGTGTTATAACGACTTTTAGGAAGGCGTTATTTCGCCTTTCCAAAAGGCGTTATTACGTTATTACGCCTTTCTTAAAGGCGTTATTACGCCTTTCCAAAAGGGTTATTTTATAACGCATTTTGAATAACCATTATTTTGCATTTAACAGGCCCGTGCTTTTAACCCCCCCCCCCCACACACACACACACACACAACCACCACCCCCACTCTACTGTCAAACTTGGGACTTCTCGGTAAAACTTTGTTTAAATGCAATGATTTGCCACAGTTTTACACACTGCAACAAAATGTTTAGGAACCAAGCACCCAGTAGTTAATTATATTATCTAAACTTTAGCACTGTGGGGGGGGGGGGTTACCCCATTCGCACTCGTATTATTGGCCTACTTGAAAAGGAAATTGGCAAGGCGTTTATTTATGTTAATAAATATATGAAAGATTTAATTAAAACCATCTTTATTGCAATTCTCTATATTCCTGCACATCTCACTGACAACTGTTTGCATTCGTATTAATAGAAGGCAACACTCTTCTTGTGAAGATACGTTATAGGCAGATGTATCTTGGAGCTTTGTATCAAAATTCATGTCATTTGAAGATATTTTTCTTTCTTCTTGGTAAAAAGCAGGCAAACTATTTGCATAGGTATAATGAGCAATTGATATCAATGATCCTTGGTAGAGGTGTGTCAGGTATTAAAGAAGGACTTAGTTGGTTCAAAATTGAAAATATATGACGCATTTAAAAATTTTTTTCCCCCTGGAAATCTAATTGTTATCTGTTTAAATTATTTGTTGAGAAATTAGTCCTATATCAAATTGAGAAATTCATGTTCCAAAGGTAAGCACCCCCTCCCCACCCTAATATGTTTAGTCATGTATTCAACATAAAGACGTAATAACGATTTTTATAAAGGCAAATTAACGGAAATGGAAAGGAGTTATAACGCCTTTTAGAAAGGCGTAATAACGCCTTTTAAAAAGGCGTAATAACACCTTTTGGAATGGAAAGGCGTAATAACGCCTTTTCTATAACGCCTTTTTCGCGTTATTACGCCTTTTCGAAAGGCGTTATAACGCCTTTTAATTTTTTTTCTCTCTAGATTGATCCTGATAGGCTTTCGTATTTTTCTTTTATCTACAACCTGAATAATCTAATTCTTTTTCATTCAATTCGGAGTTTTCTGTCATTATACCCCCCGCTTGAAAAGCGGGAGGGTATATAGTAATCGTTAATTCCGTCCGTCCGTCTGTACGTCCGTCCGTCCGTCTGTTACGCTTTGGGGTACTCATCTCTTATCCGCAACTCCTCTCATACGACTGAATGAAATTTGATGAAACTTTCACAGAATCTTTATTACATATTGCCATTGTGCACCTCCTATTTTACTTTTTGATTCGACACATATTTTGGGTTTCCCAGCCACAGGAAAACATGGACTTTATCACTAGTTATAATCATATGGGAGGCGGGGGTATCATTTAGTGAGCTCTTCGCTCACAGTACCTCTAGTTTCAATCTGAGTTTCATCACTTTATCATTTCAACATCAGTACCCTGATCCTGACCCTTTTAATGTAAATTGTTCATGTTAATCTCTGAGGACCTGAGTCCCATAAGGTCTTATTCTATCAACATGTACACTTAGTGTTTTTGTCCCTTCTTCTTTTCTTATTTTGTAAGTAACATGCATGCTATTTTACAATGATGTATGGACCATACCAGTAATATAAACTTTAGTGAATGATATTCCCAACTTTTCCAAAGTATTTAAGAAAACCCACCTAGCTGTCCCATGTGTACTGGATGTTCTGCAATAATGTTGCCTTGTCCGATTTTTTTATCTGATGTCCACCACCTCCCACCTCCCACCCCAACCCCAACCCCCCAAAAAAAGGGGGGGGCTACATTATTGCAGCTAGATCTGGAATGGTTTGAAATTCTTTAAAACCGTGAGCTAAACACTAACTAAAGAAAAGTGAGGTCAAGGTAAAGGGAAAGGTCACGATAAAAAAAAGTTGATGCAGTTGAATAGTTTTCATCAAAATCCATCAGAAGAGGTTAGAGAAAAATATCTCGAATTGTTTCTTTGTATTGAGCTTTGAACTGAGCTAAATGCAAAGCGGAAGGGAAGGACAGAATGAGGGGAGACGGAAATGACAGACACGATATGCCCTAGCCATTTTTACGGCGGGGCATAAAAATACAGAAAAAAAAAAAAAAAAAACCTAATTCTCTTATATGGCATGTCAAACGTTGCAATATTTGATAATCTTGTGATGTATATTCAAAATCTTGTGATGTATGTTCGAAATCTTGTGATGTATATTCAAAATCTTGTGATGTATATTCAAAATCTTGTGATGTATGTTCGAAATCTTGTGATGTATATTCAAAATCTTGTGATGTATGTTCAAAATCTTGTGATGTATATTCAATATCTTGTGATGTATATTCTAAAACTTGTGATGTATATTCTATAATCTTGTGATGTATGTTCGAAATCTTGTGATGTATATTCTATAATCTTGTGATGTATATTCAATATCTTGTGATGTATGTTCAAAATCTTGTGATGTATATTCAATATCTTGTGATGTATATTCGAAATCTTGTGATGTATATTCGAAATCTTGTGATGTATATTCGAAATCTTGTGATGTATATTCTATAATCTTGTGATGTATGTTCTATAATCTTGTGATGTATGTTCGAAATCTTGTGATGTATATTCGAAATCTTGTGATGTATATTCAATATCTTGTGATGTATATTCAAAATCTTGTGATGTATATTCAATATCTTGTGATGTATATTCGAAATCTTGTGATGTATATTCTATAATCTTGTGATGTATGTTCGAAATCTTGTGATGTATATTCGAAATCTTGTGATGTATGTTCAAAATCTTGTGATGTATATTCAATATCTTGTGATGTATATTCGAAATCTTGTGATGTATATTCTATAATCTTGTGATGTATGTTCGAAATCTTGTGATGTATATTCGAAATCTTGTGATGTATATTCAATATCTTGTGATGTATGTTCAAAATCTTGTGATGTATATTCAATATCTTGTGATGTATATTCGAAATCTTGTGATGTATATTCTATAATCTTGTGATGTATGTTCGAAATCTTGTGATGTATATTCGAAATCTTGTGATGTATGTTCGATAATCTTGTGATGTATATTCGAAATCTTGTGATGTATATTCAATATCTTGTGATGTATATTCGAAATCTTGTGATGCATATTCTATAATCTTGTGATGTATGTTCGAAATCTTGTGATGTATATTCGAAATCTTGTGATGTATGTTCGATAATCTTGTGATGTATATTCGAAATCTTGTGATGTGTGTTCTACAATTCAGTGATGCGTGGCTGGACCGGGAATCGAACCGGGGACCCCTATATCACTAGTCAGGTGCTCTACCTACTGAGCTATCCAGGCCGATATCCACGGGCCTAACCATTACACGTGCAATAAAATTGCATGACGCAACAGAAAAGTAAGGACAATTTTCATTGGTTAGAAATAACGAAAGTAGCCGGAGCGGTCGTAATGCACACATTGACACAACTTCGCAAGCATGAAATTGGCGAATTCAACCTAAAGTCAAAATTATAGGTAATAGAAAAATTGTTTTGGTATCAAGAAGCACTAAGTCAGTCATAACGTGAAAAGTGGGAATCAAGAACATTAATTTGATTTGTTTGAAGGTACATCAAAAACAATTTAGTGGCTTATTCAGTTATTGCTGGACTAAAGGATGTTTTATCCTATTTTTACGTCCTCATATTGTAGTGATGTTGATTACTAGTAATCGGTATGATTTATTCTATATTGGTGCTAGTTAGAATAATCTAACTGTGTCTCGGGACAAACTCTCACCACGCAGGGTTCGAAATTGCATGGCCCATTGCAGCTGCATTGACCGTAGCACTAGTCCAGGGACGACTTTGCAATAAATAAATAAATAAATAAATAACACGACAAATTTTTAGGAGAAGGTGAATGTCAGGAAAAGATTAATTGCTATGCATCATTGAATATTGTCATTCACAAATTTGTCCAATTATTTTCATAGTAAATGTATTGAGCCGGGCTCATTTACAGGATAATGAACAAGGACTGTGGTGACAGTTTGAAATCACGTTCAGACGTTTAGAGAATATGTAATACACACAAAAATATCTCAATGGCATGTATAATATTAAATAGTTTTAAAAATAAAATAAAATATAGCTAGAAATTAACAGCGAAAAATATTTATCACGTATCGTTTTGGGGTAATCCGGTTTTATATACAAACAGAAGTAAATAAACACCGATGCAGCAAGATTAAGGTCAAACGTCTCTGCACTGATGTGTCCTCAGCGGTGAGATTTGCATCAAGTCATTAATGATGTTCCCTGCATTTGTGTTAGCCTGATAGTACAACCTTTATTTATAGAATCAATCTAATTCAAATTAGATGTTAGATCCGCTTGCATACTCGCTACACTAACATCTAACAACATCCCGTTGAGGGTCACGTCAGAGGTCAAATTCTATCAATTAATCAAATCGCAGCTGGCAAAATCATCATATATTGTTGAAGCAAATAAATCTTGAGGCGTTCTGAATTTAACCTCTTACGTGACCCTCAATGGGATGACTTGTTAGATGTTAGTGTGTTGAGTATGCGAGCCGATCTAACATCTAATTTTAATTATATTGTTTATAGAATATGATGCAGACAGGTATACCTGGTGAAAACCTTTCACACCCGTTGAATTACTTTGTAAAATATTAGTCAAAGGAGCCAGGAAAAAATATTAAACAATTTAATATTATGATAAAAATATTCAATTTACTATTTCTTAAGGTGATTTTGTTTTCTCAACAGCGGCTGGTCACGTACCATACTTTTACTCGTAAACTCAATTTGGCGGTGAAGAAGCAGCATTTTCTGTTGCTCACCGTCGCTATAGCTGAGCATTGCTCTACGAGCAATGTGCCCGGCTAAAAATCATAATATTTGTAATGATATATCATATTCTAGACTTGACATACAATAAACAATGATAAAAATTATGGTCGCATATCTGCAGTGATTTTCTTTGATCTTTCTGTGGTGATAATTTATCCCATATCACATGTGTGATAATACTTTCCAAACATGTTTCAAAGTTTTTACACTCTTTATCATACAGTTTTAAAGGACAGTTTTATGAGCTCATAAGTATATTAAATGGTTAATTTATCAAAACCTGCATTTAAAAATTCAGAAGTCTTAAGTTAAACCAAATTGTCCAGGGTATTCTTAGTAAGGTATGTCAAAGGTCATGGTTAAGTGACTTTGTAAGGCTGGTATTTTTTCTTTAGTTTTATGGCAATCAGTGCACATGGTAAATATCATAAAATTACCCCTTAAAGGTCTTAATTATGCAAGGAGATAGCCAATCAAAATGAACAAATGTAGTTCTATGTATGATGTATATAGAGACAATAATATTTCTTTTCTTTTTTCATGAACTTTACGTAGGTCTACAGTTTTAATGTTGGACTCATGCACTAGGAATATCATATCAGCAGAATTGTGCCACTGAATCAAAGGGAACTCTTTTTTTTTTAGGTACGCATGATCGATGTAACTTCCTTGATGGTGTGTTGGCTGTTTGCCCATGTGTATTTCGGGGTATAGGTATGTTTAGTCTCAATTTTCTTTCTTAAAAGCTGCATAAGGGGTATATTTTTTCTGATCTCAAATTTTGTCTAAGCATTAATCTTTTTTCTCATTTATGAATTATCTGCTGAGAGTCTAGTTAATTAATTTATTTAATTAAAGCTATATAGTAACATATAGTGAAATTATATCCTTGTGTGAGACCTAAAGAAAATCAGGTTACTCATTTTTATGACAATTTCTTTGATTTCAGGAGTAGCCTCCCCTTTTAAAGATCCAAAATGGTGATTTTACAGTGCGGCATGCAGTCTGTCATCAACGAAGAGTTTTGACACCTGTAATACCCATATTTCTACCATTCACCTCTGTAACCTTTGTTGAGTTCATCAGACTGGTAAGAAAAACAATATTGTTAATTGAAATAATTTTATCAAGATAAATAAAATAATTAATGAAAAAAAAATTACATGAACAGACTCCCTCATATAAGAAAATGTCACATTTTACACATTGCAATTATACATCATTTACATATCCACATTTTCCCCATTTACACATGCAGTTGAATAGATTTAGTGCTTAATAATACATAGCAACAATTATTACATGAATCCTAAGACAATTCACAAAATACATGAATGCATTAAACTGTGAAATACAGATTTCGTACATTTAATTAAAATGCACAACATCAGTACCCCCCCCCCCCTTCACAATCTAATAACTTTCTTTTTAATTCAAAGTCACTAGGCAACACTAAAGATTTCCACTTATTGCTTTTCAGTCCAAGACAGGAAGTTGAGGAATAAAGTTGACAGGACATCCTGAACTGTCCTTGCTACCAGCTTATGAGGGAACCAGCTGCAGTGGACAAAGTACGTTACATCATAGGATAATAGGTAAGTCTCCGGAGTAGTGTTTGTAGCAATTCTCGTACTTGGTCCTGCATCGAAGATTCAGGACTATTGATATTTATCTCTGCATGGTTTGGTTCCCTTAGCAAAAACAAATGCTATATTTGCATTGATTTTTGATTTTATTTGTCTTGAAAATACATTGAACATTGGTTATGCATTTATTTTTGATTGAATCCAATTCAAAAATCTTCAGACCATTGATTTTGGAATGATTGAAATTTGATTTTTTCAATAAATGTTGTTTCAATGCATTTATTTTGCATTTATTTTGAATTTATATGATGTCATACCAATAACAAATTACACATGAAGTGATCTCTTTGGTAAATCCATGATTGAATTTGTATTTATTTTCTGAAGCATTGATTCAGAAATAAATGGTAGCTTTATCAGTTGTGTATATTGCTGGTTATATTAGTGCTGACCAGCTGTAAACATATCCAGGGAGAGGCTGATAAAAATCACGTGATTACTCTACGTCACTTTATCAGCCATTTCAAATTCTGCTGGCGCTGCATCCAGACAAGCTAGAAGCCATGATGTACTTTGATGGAAATGATCAACATTTTGTTGTGTTCTTCCCTGTGGACTAAACTATTCATATTATGGCAAAAAGTTGTGTAGAATCTAAGAATGATGAAGACAGCTAGTGTTGTTTTGTGACAGACAAGTGATATTGAAGGTGATGAAAAGATGGTGCTGTTGAAGTAGATGCCATACAAATAATGGATACATTGTTTTCTCAGGAAGTAAGTTATTTCTTTTTTTCTCAAAATTTATTCTTAATCACTGTTTATGGCATTATTTTACCCATCATTACACATTCTGTGGAATTTCAGAGAGGGGGAACATGCCAAGTATTAAATTTCACTCTCCAAGGAAGTCTTATGTAAACAAAGATCGGGGCTTAATTTCCATCACATGCTTTCTGATCAAATTAAGTTAATCTATGCTCTTTGTTTAAGCAACACTGCTGGTGTCCACTGCTGAGCAGATAGTGTAACTATAAACTAATTAGTCTACACTACAGAATTACTAATTATGCACCAAACCTCGAAACACCATGCAGCCTTGACTCTCATTTCTTTTTTATTTAAAAGATTCATTTATTTATCAAATGATAAATATCTTCAATGGGTTTTTTTTCAGAGTATGTACATGCTCCAAGTGCAAAAATTTGAAGTTAGATCCAAGCTGTGCCACCGATAATGTTCAATAGATTTAAAGCAGTCTATAGTTAAATGGAAAAAAAAGATTTAACTAATGCAGTTCCACAAAAACTACCAATAACAGTCCAGAAAGTGAGAAACTTATTTGCCGAGTAACATAGAAATGGAATTCAAGGAAGTGTACTTCAAATTGTGCCTTTGTGATATGTGATTAATGTATGGAACTATACTGTTATTGTGTCAGTGATTTTTGGGTTTTATTCATGTCTCACACACATTCAAGTGTAACATTTAATATAATAGGAAGTTAGTAATTCATTTACTTGAATTTATAACTGTACTGGTGAATTTTTAAGATAAGTATTCAAAATTTTGGTAAAGATACATGTGATGGATTATTAGTAATAATGTTTGCATTGAGCATGATGCTGGATATTGTTTGTTACCATATGTATTTATTCTATGTTACTTCTCAAGTTTCATATCATCACTTAAATGTTTTTATATGTATTACTTTAACATTTTTCTGTGATGTCACAATAATGCTAAGTGACATCAAATAAATGCTTCATACTGTATTTCATTTGTTTTGCATTGATTTTGCATTTTTCTGTGATGTCAAATTAATCCTTCATCTCATTTACATATTTCGCAAAAATCCAGCCATTTTCAATCAAAAGTCAATGCAAAATAAATCAAAATCCAATGTTCAATGCTATTTCAATGCTTTTTTCCCATACAATTTAGCAAGAAGGCACAGTTGATTTCTTTGCAAATCAAAAAACAATGAAAATCCAATGCTCAGAAAACAACTACAAAATAAATCAAAATTCAATCAATTTGATTTTGCTAAGGGTTCTTCCCAGAAACATGTTACTGGTGGTGGTCCCTATATTCTTCTGGCTTTTGTGGTGAGGAATGTTTCATTTCTAGCTCTTTTCTGATCACATTTTGTCTATCTAGCTGTTTGTCTGTCTGTCTGTCCATCTGTCTGTCTGTAAACTTTTCATATTTTCGACTTCTTCTCTAGAACCCATGGACCAATTTCAACCAAACTTGCCACAAAGCATCCTTGGGTGAAGGGGATTCAAGTTTGTTCAAATAAAGGGCCACACCCTCATTCAAGGGGAGATAATTGGGAATTAATGAAAATTTGATGGTATGTTTTAAAAATCTTGTTTTCAAGAACCACTGTGCCAGGAAAAATGAAACTTATGGAGAAACATCCTCAGGTAGTGTAGATTTAAATTTGTTCAAATCATGACCCCCAGGGGTAGGGCGGAGCCACAATGGCTGACCAAAGTTTAACATAAAAATATATAGGAAAATTCTTTAAAAATCTTCTTCTCAAGAATGACAAAGCCATAATTGATCCTATTTATATGGAAGCATCCTCAGGTAGTGTCAATTCAAGTTTGTTCAAATCATAACCCCCGGGGTAGGGCGGGGCCACAATGGAAGATCAAAGTTTTACATAGAAATATAAAGGAAAAATCTTTAAAAATCTTTTTCTCAAGAACAGCAAAACCCTGATTGATCATATTTATATGGAAGCATCCTTAGGTAGTGTAGATTCAAGTTTGTTCAAATCATGTTCCCCGGGGGTAGGACGGGGCCACAAAGGATGATCAAATTTTATATAGAAATATATAGGAAAATTCTTTAAAAATAACCTTCTCAAGAAAAGCAAAGCCATGATTGGTCAAGGGACTACTTTTGGATTTAAACTTTTCAATAAAAAACCAATTTTTACTTTTTCCTAGCCACAGTGCTCAGGTGAGCGATGTGGCCCATGGGCCTCTTGGTTTTTTTTTTTTTTTTAAAATGATCAATCATTAAATATAAATAAATCAGTTGTTAAAAAATTTGCTTCATATTTGAAGTGCTTTAAACCGACCCTTTGATGAAAGTGACCAGTGTTTTTTGCACCTTGGAAGGTTTATTGGTAAAATATAAGAAGGAAGTTATGATTTTGGTGTCACTATTGTTGTTATTTAAGTTTGATTTGATTTTTATATTACGAGTATTATGAAACTGTTATTTTGTTACTGAACGATGGTTAATTTTAATTGTGAACAAATGTACAAAGATGAGGAGTATAATATAGTTGGCTATGTATATTGCCCAATTTTTGAACATATTATGTAATAAATATTAATAACAACCTTTGAATAATTGGAAAGACAATATTATAAATATGATAGCATTTTTGTACATGAGCATACATTTTTGAAAGGAAAAATAAATTATTCAATTGCATTAAAAAAAATATTTTGTTTCATATTCTTGCGAATTATCAGATCATTCTTCTATTATTTAAATACTCTGTCATTATGAAACCTTGTTAATAATTAAGTAAATATTAATTGTACATTTGCACCAATTTTTACATGTTTGTGCAAAATTATATACAGGAACAATTCTGAACAAATATATGCAAGTGAGTTGTAAATTTGATATGTAATGCATACATTACAAAAACCCATGACAGTGTTCACTAAAATGAAATGTATGGACTCTTATATAAATACTTGGTATATGTGATATGGATATTATGGATGATATTTTTGAGAATGACACAAGTAATGAAATTTTTCAGCATTGAATTGGATTCTTGAACCAGAGCCATGTGAACCTGGTCCACCTGTACCTCTCATTGAAGACCTGTTAACATCACCAGAGTATGTTCATTCTGATACCCCTATGGTATGGTTACAGCATGCATTATCCCTGAATCCATTAAAAGAGCTGCATTGGCAACGAAACAACCCAATGTGGTCGATTGTAAGGAAATATAGCATATCAGCTTCCAACTTTGGTGCAGTTCTCAGTTCTAAGCAAAGGCGGTAAGACGTGTGATTAAATTTTTGCGAAAAAGACTTTTAAAATTACAGTCAAACTTTGTTATCTCAAACCCATTATCTCATATTTCATGGATATGTCACAGTAATTTTGAAGTCCAAACCATTTATAAAAGACTGGGACATTTTATTCTTGATAACTATTTATGTGTTATTCTTGAATCCACGGATATTTCCAACATTTTTCTTGGTCTCATTGAGTTTGAGATAATGAGGTTCGACTGTAATGACTAGATATTTGTACATAAAGATGCAGGAAATATAAGATTAATAACCAAAAATCATATTTTCTTCTCCAGATTGACATTGTCACTGAAGAAACAGCTGATGTCGGCTTACAATCTGGAGTCCATCAAGGCTGTTGCATGGGGTATCACTCATGAAGATGATGCTTTGAGAAAGTATGAAAAGGACTTAGATGCAGCTGTAGAGCAGTCAGGTATACAGCACAAAATAATATTCCTTCAATCTCTGACATGTTAAGAGCCATTCTCTGTAATGATTTGAAATTTTATATAGGAGCTGTGGCACGCATAGTCTCAGAATTTCTCCAAACTCTATACGATAAAAGTCTTTGATACCCTAAACTGAAATCAGGCAAAAATTGGTTGCTATGTTTTATAGTTACCATGGCAACATGTCTTAAAGTTCGAAAAATGGCATTTTTTAACATGTTTAGAGCCCCATAGTTAACATTTGCGGCAAAGCAAACAATTGGCAATGACTGTTTCCAAAAGTTGAAGGTCAGATGTCTCAAATGCATGATAAACATGTTTGGTAAATCAACTATTACATGCGTTACTATGGTAACAAAGTATTCAAAAGTAAAAAAAAATATTCATTGAATTTTATAAAGTCATACACGTAAAAATAAAAAGCAATTATAGGATGAAATGTGACCAAATAATAGAAAAAAGAGCCTTTAAACATATACCAAGAACAAAATATGATATTTCATTTTGGTTGGCAATGGTTGCCAAGGTTTTTATACCACAGAGAGCCTTCAAAGTAACTCTCTGTATGTTTAAATCTGATCCTATCTTTTAATCAAAGTACTGTGAGTACTGAAAGACGGTGGCATGAATGATTTTGTTTGTTTAACAATTAACACCCCTTTTGAGAATAAAATTTTTTAGCAGTGAAGGATATTTTTCTGACTAGCAATTACTGCGACACAGGATCTCAATCGGAATTAAGGGCCCATATCCATGTCACGCAGTAGGAGTCGAATCCGCGGCGTAAGGATTGACTTCTTCAGGTCCGTGAGTCCAAAGCAAACCCGCTACGTCAAATGGCGACTGGCAGTATATAAGAAAAAATGTTTTAAGATTTTGTAAAATTATATTGAAATTATACATGTTTATTTCAATTTTTCACAATATATCTACAGGCCTGCATTTTAATATATAAATTTATATTTTTTGTACAAAAAAGTAAAGTGTTATGAATTCTCACTGTTATCTAAAATTGTAAATTACTATCTTCTTACAATTTTCATCAAAAAAAACATAGCAAATTTCAAATAGGTATATGCATAAATAAACAATTGCAAATTATAAAATTTCATTTAATGTGTTGTGTCGCTTTACGACACACGGATGATAATGTCAAAACGTATTGGCTGTCAATATTGACAGCGCCTTCCGCTATTCCTGTAGACATTTGTTCTACCCTTGGATTTGATTACATGTAAAACGATTTCGCTTAGAAAACTCCCATTTCTCTAGTACACTAAAGAGGAAAAAACTCGACTGCTTTCCAGTGCGTAGTATCGTCATCGAACGCCGCCGTTTTTCGTGTGTTGGATTTACCACCTTCCCATTTCGGATGCTTGATAAACTGATAAATTGATAAAATTATTAAGCAAATGTCCTTAAATTTTCCAGAAGACGACACAATAGTTAAGGGAATAAAAAATAGGATAATGTTAACCAAAATCTATTTAATACTTTTATTTCGAAACAATACTCATGTATTATTTTTAAAAACGTTTTTTTTTAATCGTGCGTAAGTACATTAAAGCATGTTAATGAAGAATTAATTTTTTGTCTATATTTTATCAAACGAATTCAGATACACTAAAATATGATAAATAAATACTTTTCATCTTGCAGTGCCTACTATTTTTCGAGAAAAACGCTTTGTACACGGCAACCCTCGTATACTGCTCGAAAAAAACAAAAACGGAATAACAAAATATTTTTCTGTCTCTATTTTCCGTCGTCTCAAGTCACGATCGGAGTCTGTATATATGCGCATGGAACTTTCTCCAGAATGGGAGAGGATCGTACATTTTGGCTAGGGTTTGCGATTATGGTATTTCTCATGCATAATATTCTAACAATTATGCAATAACCCTGCGAATCATTGCACAATACATATTTACTGCTATGTGAACACACCAGCCCACTAAAATCGCATAAAATCTTAATACTAGTATTATTTCATGCACATTATTTGAATACCTTTTTCGTACACACTTTAAAGGGTAAATTTATTAGAGGCACGTTAGAGTTTCTAAATAGGAATTAAATATATGGGTAAATTGTCCGTTGTAATTATAGCTTTGACAAATTTTTATCCGTTCAGTCGTTTTTGTGTCCGAGATAATCAGACAAAGTCTTATTTTTAAAAACTAGAATGGTAGTAAACTTAGCAAATTTTATGGCATCATATACCTCCAACAACCGTTTTATTAACTGATTAAGATGTAGTGATCTTTTTTCTTCTTTCCTAAAATACATATATTCGTTTAATAATATAGCATTGTTAACAGATATGAGAAATTCAAACAAAAAGACTTTGTTAAATTACAATAAACTATTCAAGTTTTATTGTAAAAAAAAAATTTCACAAAGCATGCAGTATTTAAGAAACAGTCGTGTGTTGTTTCAAGTAGCAATTACTAGTAATAATGACTAGTATTTGATTTCGGAGTTAGATAGTGAAACAATCATACATTTAAATCTTCAAATATTTTTCAACAATTAATTGTTAATTTTAAAGAAACACAATGTGCGTACGAAACTGACTTTTTCGAAATTGTGAGAAAAAATGAAAAAAAAATTGTACGAATTGACATCTGTAGTTTGCATACGAATCTAGGAGTCGGTTGGTGTACGATCGAGTTAGTTTAGTTCGGCGTAACTCAATGAATATTCATGAGGCGAGAAATATTGATAACGGCAAATATCAGGACTTAAGACTTTGTATCCATCAACGAAATGTCTTTGAAATAACTTGAAAGTATTTGTTAACTATGTACATTTTATTTTCAAACATCGAAATAAGTCTACTTTCATTATTTTGACTCTGCAAAAATCGCCGCTAGGGTCCCTGTGTGTTTACACAGACCAGCAGCAATAGCCTGTGGCTATAAATAGCCACCGTCTAAAAAAGCACATTTCCTCATAACTAATGATCAATTTTACAAGATGTTGGTGTGCTCCAAATTTTCCCATTTGAAAAAATTCAGATTAGATTCTTTAAATAGAGCGTTGCTATGGAAATAAGCAGAAAATATATGCTTAAAAACCTGAAAAATATTTTGTTTCCTTGGATACGTACCCTTAAATGTAGATTCCCAAAACTTTTGTGATTGATATTTATCAACAGCTAACTTGACTTTTAATTTTGACGATCATCCAATCTCTAAGTGGATGCAAGAAGTTGGCACACAGGGTTTCATATTGATATAAAGTTCACAAAATCGAACATTTTCCCTTCTTGGTAACCATAGCAACAGTGTTGTTTTCTTCATAAAATTTTATCAATATATGATATTCAACTTATGTTCTAACAGATAAGTACTATTCAAGCTAAGTCCTTTAATTTGTTTCTTGGTTAAATGGCAATTTAATTCTTAATGCAGCGAAAAATAATTCACTTTTAAGCACTGGTACTTTGTTTCCATGGTAACACTGCAAAGTAGCAATTGTACCCAATTTTTCTTATGGTTTTGGTGTTGCAAGGTCCTAAGGATGCATATTTGCCAGTCTTGAATTTTCATGTTTTTCCTCAAGACAGTAGCATTAACCCAATCTCAGTTACTGGTTTTGCATGGTTACACTGTGTTACCATGGCAACCATAAAAGTTATTTATAGAATAATATTGCTTATACTTAAATACTTAAGGTCAAACATTTTCATTGTTTTTCTTAAGTCGTTGATTGATTTTGAGCATGTAACACCTACCATTAATGAATACGGAGTGTTTTTCAGCATATTTCAGCATTTTAAATGTATTCCAAATGTACCCTTGGTTACCACTTACGTAGAGATATATTCTAAACAGTTTCTTTACAGTATAAGTGACATCATGGTGTCATGTTTTTGTGAGAATGGTTTGTTTGCTTTTTCTAGTTTTTATTAAGCCACAGTCAAGATTTAAAGTGGCTGAAAATCTCGATTTTTCAAACTTTTCCGGCTGTTGCCATAGCAACCGAGACACATAGCAACGAAATTTTGTTTGATATTTGTTTCTGGTGTCAAGTACTAAGCATGGGTGAAGTTTCATCAAAATCGGTGACCATGCGTGGCAATGAAGTTTAAGTGGTTACAGAGAATGGCTATTAACATTCATTGTGTCAAAACAAATAACAGGACTTATCCTGGTGACAAACAGAAATCAATTACTGAAGTCTAATTGTAAAAAAAAACTAGAAATATGTCCATAGGACGTGAATGCCCCGCCGAGGATATATTAGTAAAGCAACATGAAATTTGTACATGTATAAAATTTGATCAGTTTGGTTCAGGCAGGGCTTATAGTTAGTTGGGAATAAAAATGTAGGTCCAGCATCCAAAGCAAGTCTGGTAGTGTCCATCCCTAGATGCATCATCCACGCAAGTTTGGTTCAGGTAGGGTTTATAGTTACTTGGGAATGAAAATATAGGTCAGATCCAGCATCCGAAGCAAGTCTGGTAGTGTCCATCCCTAGCTGCATCATCCATGCAAGTTTGGTTTAGGTAGGGCTTATAGTTACTTGGGAATGAAAATGTAAGTCAGATCCAGCATCGAAGCAAGTCCGGTAGTGTCCATCCCTAGATGCATCATCCATGCAAGTTTGGTCTAAGTAGGGCTGATAGTTCCTTAGGAATAAATCTGCTCCAAAAACTTCAACCTGGTCACTCATCTGGAAAATGTAGGTCAGATCCAGCATCCGAAGCAAGTCTGGTAGTGTCCATCCTTAGATGCATCATCCAAGCAAGTTTGGTCTAAGTAGGGCTTATAGTTCCTTAAGAATGGACCTGCTCCAAAAACTTTAATTTGGTCACTCATCTGGAAAATGTAGGTCAGATCCAGCATCCGAAGCATGTCCGGTAGTGTTCATCTCTAGATGCATCATCTATGCAAGTTTGTATCAACATGTAAAGTTTGATAACACCATCTTGAATGGTATGTTTAAAACTGAGCTAAACACTATTTAAGAAAAGTCAGGTCAAGGTCAAAAAATGTTAATGCAGTTGCATAGCTCTCATCAATATCTATCAGCATATGAAGTTTGATGAAAATATCTTGGATAGTTTCTTTGAAACTTAGCTTTGAACAGAGCTAAACACAAAGTGGGACGGAAGGACGGAAGACGGACATGACAAACACTATATGCCCCGGCCATATTCATGGCGGGGCATAAATATTCAGTTACCAACATATTCCAGAAAATTTGCTTTTTGAAGTGGAAGGATTATAAAAGCTCTACTTAGACTTTGTTTGCATTACAAAATCAATTGTATTATGGTTTGTTTGCATTCAGTAGTATTATAATTTTTTCTGAAAAGGATATGGTTGCATGAATCCGGAGTGTTGGGAGCTTCACCTGATGGCTTAGTTGTTCGACCACCAACATGCAGTGTATTTTATCAAACTCCAGAAGCCAAAGACGCCATTCCTAATATTGTAGAGGTGAAGTGTCCATATACAGCATCGTCTTCAACAGTAGCAGATGGGGCACAAAATTTGAAGGATTTTTCATAGGTAAATAACATTAAAAATCTGTATTGTCCAGTACTTTGAAATTAAAAATCTTGGTGAGTAAATGATTTCAAAACATGTATTAATTTACAAGTGCAGCTGTTCAATATGGTATGAAGATATTGAAAAAGGAGGGGATATGTACTGGTATAACACAACTTAAGTGTTTTTTGATTTTTTTTTAGATCTTAAACAAGATACCCTGTGCCTGAAAACCAGTCACCCATACTATCATCAAATTCAAGGCCAGCTACACATATGTAACAAAACATTCTGCGACTTAATTGTGTGGACAAGAGTAGACTGCATTGTGATTAGAATAGTAAAAGACATTGAATGGAGAGCAAATGTTCCAAAGCTGATAGATTTCTACATTAACATTTTCATACCAGCACTGATGGAAAACTGAGTTCTGGTTTGAACTTCTTGACACTTAGTTTTGTACCTCTAGAATTTTCTAACAATGGAAAATGGGTAATCATGTTAAATGTGTTGAATGTTCCTAAGTCTCATAAATGTATGATATGATATGTCACAATCCATCATAAAACTTCTGGCTTATAAGACTATTTTAAATAGCAATGATGATTAATAAAATCTATGTACTACATAAAAAAAGAATATCAAAATTTAGAATCATTTTATTAATGAATTGAAGATGTTATTCTCAAAGTGAAAATGTAACATTTTGGTCTTTCTTAATAGATAAATTGTTGAAAACATGAATTTGTTGAGTTGTGCTTTAAAGGTAAATATACTTTAAACTAGAGATTTAAAATTAGAAGTAAACCCTCTTCCAAATTATATTGTCAAATGAAGAATGGAATTGCCAAACATTCTTGTAATAAATCCATGCTAACAAAAGGGATTTTCATTTTCTGAAGTATATGTATTACAACATACTACAAAGTTAACAAATATAACCATTGACATTGATAACAAATCAAAATTTGCTTATCCCTTGCACTTTGGTATGAATATCTTCACTGTTTAGTGTATACTGTCACACGCCAATGCAAATTTATAATAAGTACATGTATCTTTAAGTAATTTCTTTCAAAAGTGGAGCTTGCAAGTTTACAAGACAAGAACAGAGTTGAAATATTTTTGTTGAGATTGGTCTGTAAGTAGATGGTATGTGACGGAGAATCTCGTAATTCTTTATCCTCTCGTTGGCTCTTTCCACATGAATAAGTGCTTTAGCAATCTTGTAACACAGTGCTGCTTCTTGTATGGTAAACTGGCCTCGTGTCGATAAAAGAGCTTTTATAATTAAGCAGACACCCTGGGGCAACTGGTCATGAATGGTGAAACCTTTGACCACCAAAATAAGGTCTCCAGCTTTGAACTTTCGTAAAACTTGGCTGTGACGTACAATAGCTACATCAGAAGTAGAACCTGGGTACAGTATGGAGCAAAATGTAAGTGCACCATTTGGAGGCACGCAAGTTACTGCTTTAAAAGTATGGCAACTTTTGTACATACTGTAGGCCATGGCCTGATTATCCATATGTGTTGGGATGTCCTGGATTGTTTCAATTGCATCCATGGATGCTCTAGCAGAGGAAAAATCCTCAAAAGATTTTGGCAGAGACCCTGAAAAAAAGTTGGAAACAAATTAATTTGATTATTTGTAATTGTGTAAAAAAATTGTGTTACAGTCAATCTTTCAAGAATACAATAAATTTAACTGCATTAAATTTTTGCAAGTCATTATGATAAATTTTAAAACAAACCTTTGCATTTAAGCTGACTTGGAAAACATTCTACGCTACATTCTACACTACGCCATCAGACAGCATCTTGTATAGGGAAAAGTCCACTAATTATTTTCCCATAGAACTCCATACAAACCTTCTCAGTACTTTACTATGACAATTTCAGAAAAATCTTTAGCATCATTTCAAACTTTGTTCTAAGCCCTAACAAAAAATACTGAAAAAAATACATGGTCCCATGGCATTTATAGGTCAAAATTGCAGTTATTTTCAACTTTTAGAGATTCGCAGTAAAGAACACGCGGCATAAAAAATCAACCCCCACTCCTAAAATCTTCCCTGGCATTTCTATAGTTTCTGTAATATTCCCTCATCCCATCATTTATTTCAAAGGTCATTAATTTTACTTTAAAATGAAAACAATTAAATACCTGATTTCAGCCAATGGCGTAACGCCTACCCATTCAGTATTCGGTTTAATGTTCCATAACAAACAAAGCCATGTGTGCATCCGGGGATTTGGTGCTCTCATTCCTATACTTACATACTTACCTGTCCCAGAATTAGTCAATTGTGGTAATTTCAAAGACTATACACCTACCTGTGAACATGTATGAAATTTGAGTCCTGTGACTTCAGTGTATTGGATACTGTGACCATCTCAAATGATGACACCTTACTGCTACCAGCACAATTCAAAGGAGTGAATGACGTCTGGGCCGGTGATGATATTTGGATATATTGGTGACTGTGAGAAATAAAATATTTGTACAATGAATTGTTTTTGTGCTTTAATGTTAATAAAGTGATATTAAGTCAAAATTGAGTCAATAATTTCATAAGGGTGGATTCTACCCAGAATTAGGTAAAAAGCTCCAAAATTGGATAAATCGTAGTTAATTAAGCAAAATTCAAAGGTTTTAAAAAGACTGATATAGAATTTTTTTATGCTTATGCAAAGGATATTATTTAAGACTCTGATATACTAATTGATTCTTATCTAATCCCTCCTATTGCTCAAGTATGTACAAAAAAGTTTCCCCACCCCCCAGTGAAAAACGCTTAAAGAAATAGCAGGTGCCCCCTTTTATTTTTGTTTACAATTAATTTAGACAAGTTTAAATCAATCCTTTTGATAACAAATCAAAGTTCAATGTCTGTAGTCTTATACTTTACAATCAGAAGCTACTTTTTGAATTTTATTCTAAGAAAAGGAGAATTTAAATAATTTTTTTTAAAAATTAAAGAAAAGCAAAAACTGACTTCAAACCCCAAAATGTACTATACAATAAGAGGCTGGAAAGTTAATAAATAAAAAATTTACCTGCAATGTACAGAAAACTGTCCGACAAAATACATCGGGTGGGTAGGGAGTCTCCATTTTCTTCTTATATAGAGAAAATGCCCCTGCTGATCAGAGACCTAACACTCCCAAATAATAACAAAATATGTTAACATAACAGTCAATCTAAGATGTTCATCCCTCAATGGCAACAAGTTTTTATTACAGTAACTGAAATTGTTAGGAAATAGGAAATCACAATTGGAATTCCTTTAAATGTACCTTCTCTTTGTTGTATTTAATATCGTGGATTGATATTGGCTTCCTTTTACTAGACTCTATTTTTAGGGCAAGCAATTCCTTTTCCAGTTGTATTTCTGTTGAGAGGCGCTGCATTTCTTGAGTACAGTTAAATGTGCAGGATACTGAGTAGTTGTGCTCTGATATCAACTGAAAATATATTGTAAATCATGTACAGTTAAAAGAACTTTATATATTTAATATTAAAAATTATTGAAAATGTTTCAGTGTTGGTCATTTGTCATCATTGGTGTTTTAAATGAGCTTTACTTTTTCTTGATCTTGACATTTTGGTGCTTGTGGAATCTGCAACTGGTCCATCTGTGAAGATGACAGGGACTCCTCACTTTTGAGTTTTTTCCTCCTTTGTAAAATAATTAAACTTGAATTATTTTTTTATTCAGTTGTAAGCTACTCTGTTTATACATGTACCCTTTTAAAGTTTTTTAGTAAAATATTCTCAATTAAACTCCACCCACCCACCATCCAAAAACAAGATGTCGGTCACATTTTGAAAAATAATTTCACCTTTTTGTACATTCAGGATCAGAGAAATCCATGGCCTTTCCTTCATTCCATGCAAAATATGCAGGGTCCCCCTCCTTCTTACCATCCTTAAAGTGGCAGGAGCAGATGCGATCATTCTGATCTCCTGGTTGGCGATCAGCTCGTCTAAAAATATACATTATACAAAGACTGAGTGAAGGAGAATTAAAAAGCAAAACCTGTTCATTTAGCATGTTATTATCAAATAGCCTAAAAGACTTATTTTTTCATTATTTTTTTTTAAATGTTTCATTTACTTGCAAGTACAAGATAACCATGTGCATAACATTAACAAACGGTAGCAGTATTTGGTAATATTATATAACTTTGTGAAATCCGGTAATCTGATTGGTCAATACGAAGTACTTATTTTTTAATAACGACCGCTGAAAGCGAATAATGACTCGCACGAGCTGCCTCGTTTTCACTTTCACTTTAGACAAACATGGAAGTTCGCAAGTTGTAGGTGAGGAAAATTTAAAACATATAGGAGGCCTAGTGAAGAACTCTGAGACTGATAATACAAAACAATTACTAGGATATATTTGTGAATATTTTTCGGGAATAATTAGCACATACCATTTCTTGATTGAGTTCGACCTTTCCACTCGGCGAGCAGAGTTTTGACGCTGTTTACGCGATTACGGAGACTAAAGAAAATATAGACAATCATGCCATGTAAGATTGTATCTATTCTTAGAAGACATAGGTATTTATATTTTGTCAGTGCATTTCGTCTGCAAGTGTAAACGAGAGCGATTTTCAATCTGGGGGAGGGGTACAATGTACTCTGTGTTATTCGGAGATAGATATCTTGCGTCATTATTACGATATGGGAAATTTATTGCCGAAACAATTTCCTCTGAGTAATATTCAATGGATTCTGAAACATTTGCATTCAACTTATTTATGGTTAATACTATTTCTGTAAATAATAGGATGATATACATTGCACTAATAAATTTGGGAAATTATTATTTATATAATATAATAAATATGGACTCAATGTAGGTCAATATGCATTTATAATGACCCAGGATGACAGATATTGACCTCAGATACATGAAGTATATCGACCTCGGGCTAGCGCCCTCGGTCGATATACTACATGTATCATCGGTCAATAACTGTCATCCTGGGTCATTATAAATGCATATTGACCTACATTGAGTCCATATTTGTATAGTAATAATACGAAATAAAATGTAATAAAAACAGCTGTTAAACAAAAATTAATCTTGCTACAAATTGCACAGTTTTTGTAGTATGTACTCTTCATTATTCTTCTGCTATATTGATTACTACGAGATTTAACTTTTTAGCATGCATTTATAAATACTGTATCTGACAATGCAGCATCGTGACATATCGTTACAAGTACCTACAAATTTTGTCAATATATCTACGTTTACTGAGTTTTTTCCCTAGCAGGCCGAAATATCTCCATCATGTCACCTAATCCGAGATTCCTCTGACTCTAACCCCCGCTTTTATATTGTGACTTGTGCCCTGCACAAGTCACAATATAAAAGCAGGGGTTAGAGTCAGAGGAATCTCGGATTACATGTCACCAGGAACAACACTCGTGCAGCTCGTAATAAGTGCTGCAATAAACAAACTGATGATTGTGTTTTTTCCCACCTGCATGGTTTTCCCGACGCTTCAGCTACTTTCGCACTCTCTACCATCGGCTCATACATTCATCAGTGTCTGAGAGAGGAACGAACGACAACTCTGCATGGGAGATTGCTACTTTCGTTATTTCTAACCAATGAAAATTGTCCTTACTTTTCTGTTGCGTCATGCAATTTTATTGCACGCATCACTGAATTGTAGAACACACATCACAAGATTTCGAATATACATCACAAGATTATCGA